CTTATGAGTAAAACCAAAGAGATGAAAAAAGGAAGAGAAGAGATGGATGAGTTAATTTCAAAATTAAAAGATGATCTTCGTAATCAAAAAGATGACAACTTTTTATTGGAAAATAAAACTGAAGAACTGACAGCAAAATTAAACAAAGCCAATGAAAACATGAAGTATGCAGCTACCACTAGCCAAGAAGAGCTGGATACATGGAAGGATACATGCGAAAGGTTAACAGCTTCAGTAAGTCGCAAAGAAGCTGAAGTACAGTCTCTCTCTGAGAAATGTCTGGAACTAGAGGATCTGACTGCCAAACTTCAGTCTGAAAATCGTCTGCTGAAGGAGGATAATGAAGCACTGACAGAGCAAGTAGAAGATATTAACAAACTAAAGGAAGAAAACAGGAAAATGATACAAGAGAAAGCTGAAAATGAGCAAATGATCAAGCTGTTAGAAACTCAGAAAGAGGTTCTCACAAAGAGTTCAGAATCACAGTTAGCCAAGCTGCATGATATTGAACAACTCACTGCCAGAGTCGATCAGCTCAGAAACGAGAATGAACACCACCGAGCAAGAGTCTTGGAACTGGAAAATGTTAGAGACAATTTAATAAAACAGAAAGAAGAGCTACTGGCAAATACTGAACTCATCTACAAGAATCCTAAACTTGAAGAATTACAGAACAGAGTAGATGAACTACAAGAAGCCAACAGACAGCTAAGAGACATTAATGATTCAGCTAATGAGAGATGTCAAACATTAGAAGAGGCTAACAGAGAACTCAAAGAAGCTGTTGGTGGTGATGGCAGTGTTGTACCAAAATATGATCTGCTGAGGGTTGAGGAAGAAAGAGATCGTCTGGAAGACGATATTGACCACATTAGGCAACAGTACAATGAACTACAGGAACGTCATCAGAAATACACAAACAAATATGGTCCTGATGGTGAGGCACAAGAACAGGTCCGCTTGCTGGAGAGAGAAAAGGAAGGCCTAGAGAAGCAAGTTGCTCTTATCAATGGACAACTACTTCTAGTGGAGAGCAGTAAAAAGAGATTGGATGAAGTGGTTGAGGACTTGCAGCACGAAATTGTTCATCTGAGAAAAGAATTGGAAGAAGCAGAGAAACAGCCGGTTACTGGGCCAGACATGAGTGAGCTACAAGCTGAATTGGAAGAGCTTCGCAGCGAGCTCACTCTGAGCCAGAAGGACAAAATAAAGCAAGAACACATGGTGCGATCATTAAAAGAGGAACTTGAAGAAGAGAGGACAAAAAAGCCTACACAGATCAGGGAATCACTGGATGATGTTGGAACTGAATTAACTTCTATGAGGGGAGAGCTGCATAAACTAGTGGGTGAAATTGAAAGGAAAGAACAGACAATCGCAACACTGGAAAATCAGCTTCGACAATCTAAGGAGAAGATTGAGGACAAAGATAAAAAGATACAAGACCTGAAATCAGGAAATGGACATCTAACTACCCATAGCTTAGAAGACACTCAACCAAAGACACGAGTGGATACACTCCGAAAATCGGACTCTGTTGGAAGGACACAAAGTTTAACTGAGAAAGGATCTGGTGACCGTCTACAGTCACTGATTTCTAAATACAGAAACTACGGTGAACAATCAAGCCCGCACCCTGAACGCAAAATTAAACCTCTACCTCTTATTAGCAGTAGTGGTAGTAAAATGGGACTCGTGACCCGTGGGAAAAGTTTTGGACCCGCTGCACCAAAGAGTGAAGACAAAACCAAAAAGAGCACGTGAAAAATCTCACATGAGAAATGTGAACAACTTTTATCTTTGAAGCCCTTATCCAAAGATGTGTTTTACTTTTCTAGTGAAAAAAATTTAGTTCTTTTATTATGAACAAAAATTTATAAGACAATATTACATGATATCTTTATATTTAAATAGAAGCTTACTTTATGTGTTAAGTTCTTTAAGACTAAATTGTATATTTATAACTACCCATAACACATGTAAAATGTATAGCCATAATATAAAGTGTGCTACTTTAGTGTACCTGAATGCTAATAATTTTATCAAATTAAATCAAAATACTAAACTTGAATAGCAATACAAATCTGTGATATTCATTTTTGAAAATTTCTGTGATACAACTTTTGTTATATTCTATCCATCCAATAGATATATACCATATAAAAAGCCAGTTTTATAGATTTTTATATTTTACAAAATAATATAGAAAATATAATAACAAACCTGTTGTCAAATATATATCTCTTTTTGTTTTTTAAAATATTTTATCATCCTTTGTAATCAAGATATTATTATTTTTTTCTTTGAATTATTTATTGTTACATTATACAGCTAACTAAAGAAGTAAATTTATAAATTGTAATTATCTCTATAGTATTTCTATTTCTATACACAGCTGATACAGGGTGTTTACAATGAAATGTAAATCGGTTACCATGGATACTATCAACAGGGTAGGAGAAGTACTTAAAGATGTGATTAATTTATGTTAATTCTTTTTTTTTTTTAACTTTATTATCAAATTCCTTGACAATTTACATATAAAGAGTCTGTTGTTTATGATTTTTGATATCATTATAACATTAGATGGATTTTTAAAAAAAAAAATTATGTCCTAGGACTAAATAAAAATATAATACTAAATAATACAAAGCAGATCTGTATGTATTCAGGTGAGAAGGGAATTTTCTCCCTCTCTGAATATCACAGTTTGTGGCATTTCTTTATTGATTCTGAATGGCAAACAATTTTAATAATTTCTACTTTTTTCTTCAAGTCATAGACTATTAATTTTATTCTATAATACAAATCCTTATATTTTTTGTACTTTTTTTTTTACTTCTGTCTTAGGAATCACTCAAAGGTTATACAGCAAATTTTTAAAATCAATAATACAGATGCTTATATATTACATACATGTACAATAACTTGAATTAAAAATGTGTATTTTTTTTTTTTTTTTGCAAATTTATTTTTCAACACTAAGCATTATATTCAATGTGTTCTGCCTACACATTTTGTCTAATGGTGCAACAGACAATTCTGTTTTGTAATGATAACAAATGTATGTGTTAGAATGAAGTTCAGACTTAACGACGGGGTGAAAGAACTTTTATTGACACTGCAAATCCTTTGTAGCTGTCAATGGCTGCTAGAAAGTGCTTGACAAAGTTTCACGTATAGTAGAGATTTTAAACAAACAAAACTGCGGGTATTCAACATAGAGGATATTTCTACTGTACAAAGTTTGATTTGACAGTCATGGAGGACAGATAAGAATTCAAAAACTTTTGCTGGCTTGATCCTTCCATGATTCAACCTGTGAAATATTTTTGTATTGTACAACTTGCTCAATAAATTTCTATTTTGTTCAAACAATGCAGCTTATATTTCAGGGCACCTGCATAGCAAAAATTAATACATTTTATATACCATTTTCAATTATTGATATATAATATTTGGGGAGGAGGTGGTCATAAATGTTAAAATTGAAAGTTATGATTTCTAGTGTGCACCATATCCAAATCAAAGAAAACTATAACAGCAATCAAAATCCAAGGTTGTGTTTCAACTTTTCTGTTTGTTTGAAGGGGGAATATAAAATACTCACTCTGAATGTCATATCATTCACATTGTACTTGCTAGTTGCCAAGGCAAAAATGACTTCAGTGAATGAAAAGTATCTCTGCTAGCTGATTCAAAATATTGTCTAAATCTGACACATTTAACATATTCAATGTTTCATTACATTCAAACACATTACTTGGCATTCTTTCTAAAGTATGATCTAATATTCATGACTCAGAATTTACGGTCTAAAACTGTCTCAAAAATTTGGCATCAGTCATGACACTGCATAAACAATGCATAATTTTCTCAATCCCCAAAAAGTCTTTACAGGGATTTACAAATTACTTAACATGTATATACAGTTGTAAATACTGAGATATGGCAAATTTGAGACTGTTTGAATGCCTGTCCTTGCCTTAATCTAGTTTCACATTGAGTCCTGGACTCCATCAAAGAACTCAAATATTTACACAGATTAGAGCACAAAATATATGTGAGTTTTCCTGATTTTAGTTAAAAGAAACCCTGAAGATTAACAGTGTGGAATATTTATTCAAGTGACAAGATTTAGTTTGCCCAAAGTATCTTGATTTAAAGCATACCCCATACAACTATCATCCTATTTTGGAATGTAATCAATGTTTATTTTAAATTCTTAAGTATCTAAAAAGTTTGGCTGTAAAAGTTTAAACTACAACAAAATTTATGATATATCATTAAATGGTATATAAAACAAATTCAGCTAAAAAAAATTATGATTTAGAAATTTTGATTTAAATGCTATACTGCAATATAACCCACTCAAACAGAATATATTGATGACGAATAATATTGATTACAGATTAGTTGCACTTTACCAAATGCACTTAAAGCACAGCAATTAAGCTGTGCACTTCTATACATAATCTTTTAGTAATTGCATTCCAATTTCACTGTGTATAGATCCACTGAGTTATATGAAACTGCATGATAAAATTCCAATTTTATCTGCCCCCCCCCCCAAATTAAATTTTAAAAAAATATATCAGACTTAAATCTGTATATTCTTTTCCCTTTTATTTTTTTTTAACATACTATAGAACCTTTTTTTTTAAATTTGCTTTGTAAATGTTGTGCCAATTTAAAAAAAAATCTCATAGTCATAGTCAGCTATAGCCAGAATTACGCTGATCATATCCAAAATTATAATTTTTAACTTTTCTTTCAATAATGCAATTTTCATAATCCTTCCTGAAAGGAACGTTCATGACAAAATAAAAACAACTTCGTCAAAACAGGCAATTAGGCTAATCATCTTAATTACTGATAATCACTTAATTTTGTTTGTTTGATAATTATAGCATAAAAATATGCTGCCATTTAAATTGAAGACAAAAGTTGTCGTAGAAACGGGAGGCTGGTTGCTGCTACAACTCACAAAGGACACTTACCTGTTTTTCTTTTAGGTTTTCCACTGGTGCCACGGCAAGGCGGGACTTTTTAGGATCCGCCGACGAGGATATTTTCCGGGATCTCGGCTTTTCCGACATTCTTACTATGGGTTTAAATGTCCATTGATCAATTGACACTAGTAGACAGTAAGCGATAGTGGTTATTGCCAAACTACACGCATGTTTACCCTCGGATTCGCCTCATCAAGCATGCATGAGTCGCCATCTTGTTTACGTAGTAACCATGTGGACATGACGCGGCGCTGCTCTCGCACTCTGCAGAGTGGCGCGCACCTGCGAACAGCAAACACTCGAGTAAAAAGTACGACTACAATGCTATTCTTGTATTTTGCAAAATGTGTTAAAGATGACTAAAATGAAATAAATAGTTCACGTTATTACAATCTTTCGTTTTTCCCCCTTCAAAAAAACATGCAAATATTTATTGATTACAAAAAGGTGGAACTCTACTTGTGTATGTTGCAGGCTGCATTCCTTTTGGTTTTGCAAAATTTCCTGGGGGAAAATTAAAATGTTTAATTCAATCTTTCTATAAATTAATGTGCCCTATGATTTATTTTGCAGTTCTTAATCAGATTATGCAGTGAAGGACATTTGACCTCTTCCTGTATAGTTAAAAAAAAAATATTTTTTGTGAGTTTATTATCAAATGCGAAGGTAACATTTCATTTAAATGTCTGAAACTGTCTAATTTAGTAATAGCATTTCTAAATGAGCCCTAAAATCTCCAGATTTTATCCCTAAAATTCGCCCTAATTTTTGTCAAAGAGTGCTGGACAGCCTAGCTGAAGTTGTTACTTAAAATATAAAAATGCATATATCAATTTCACAATATATATTGCTGAAAATTTCCTTTAATATTAAATAGATTTAGTGTCAATTTTTTTTTCAAATAGTTATTAACATGCAACCATGTATCTTCTTTCTTTCACTTATTTTTAAAATTATATTGGTCTTAATAGCACCTTCGCTGCAATTGGTTTTTGGAAAGAGGGGTGCGGGAAGGTCTTTAGAGGACTTATATTGCCCTATATCATTTTTTTCAGTTTAATATATAAAAATGGATCGTATCATTTTGGTTGAATCTGGATTTCGGAAGTTTTTCTTTCACTAAATAAAATCTGGCAACATTAGTTTGAACAGATGAATAACGAATTTCTTTTCGATTGTTTCAAAAATAAAATTTCGGATTTTTTGGAAGCAACAAAACAAAAAACAAAAACAAAAAAAAAACAACAAACAAACAAACAAACAAAGAAAAATAACCAAACAAAAAACAACAAAACTATATTATAATGAAGAGGACTGTTTAAGGACATTAATTAGGTGTCTGTGGCTTATACTTAATTTGTCAAAACGTGCATGTAAAACATTGTCTTCGAAAAATATTGAATATTCACTGGCTTTTGGGGCTCTTCCCCGGACCTCACCATGCAGTCGCATAAATTGGAAAATTTTATTATGTGTACTCAAAATATGTATAGTATAAAATAAGGTCCCTGCTGTAACCAACTTATGAACCGAGTCTTATTGAATTATAATAACACATGAAAAGTGATTTCTTTTAAAGAAATTCTCAATTATCTTTATTAGGGAACTACAATCGATGAGCAGGTGTCTTCATTCTATACTCTTAGTACTGGGTGTAGAGACCCTGTTACAGTTATCAAGCCTAGTAATTTAAGGCATTATAACACAATGAAATATATGGAGATGACGAACAGTATTCAAGCTCAGAAGTCCATTAAACATTGCAAAATAGGTGCAGAGCAAACGCGGACCTCCAAAACAGAGCTGGGATCAGGTGCCATGGAGGAGTGAGCATCCCCTGCCGACCGGTCACACCCGCCGTGTGCTCCTTGTCATGATCGGGAAATAACGGAAAAATCCGTCGACAGTTCAGTGTGTAAGTAATGGCCTAACAATTAGTATAAAAAACGTCAGGTCAGCATTTGACTCAATGATAAATTGTATTTGCTGACAAGGTCATTGTATCGACCATAGAACTTACGAAATGATGACTTTAAACGAGACTGCTGATATTCTTGTTTCATCAACTTGTTTGTCAATAATTTACCTCGTTTTAGAAATTGTACATACGTAGAGCATGCTCTTGCGTATCGAATCAACTGAGAGATATAAACCCCGTATGCAGGTGACGAAGGTATATTGCTGCATAAGTAAGGGAAGTTGACAATTGAAAAGTTAAAGTCATCATGTTTATCATAAAGCTTGGTTGTTAGATTACCATTAACGTCTTTTTCAAGTAAAATATCCAAATATGAAACAGATGTGTCAGACTTTGTAGTATCTTTTATCTCAAGCTCACCGGGATATATCGTATTGACATAAGAATGGAAATAACCATTGTTAATTGACAATACGTCGTTTATATGTCTAAATGTCGAGTTGAAGGCCACAGAAAGTGTTTTCTTCTTTTCACTTATAAGATTTTGGACAAATTCTGCTTCATATGAATATAAAAAAAGGTCTGCTAATAACGGGGCGCAATTGGTACCCATGGGAATTCCAATAGATTGTTGGAAGAACCACATAGATAAACACAAGTAATGATTGGGACCAAAACCGTCTAAATTCAATCAATACATGTATCTTAAAATCTTTTTAAACTCTTGCACATCTAGCAACGGAGTGCAAGAGTAAATGAAAAATGAATCCTTTAACAAACATGAAAATAATGACCCCTGGCTTCAGGTCTTTGGACCATGTTGGGGCTTAGCTGCTCACAAAATGAAATTTTATAATCACATTTAAAAATCTTTTTCTTTCTTTCTGGAAATCAAGCAAGTAAACTATTTGTATGGGTATAATGAGCAATGAGCTATCAGCTAATGGTGTGAAGTCCATATTGTCCTCTAATGGTCCAATGGTTCTGGCCTTGGAGTACATGTAGGGCTCAGCTGGGGACGTGTACATATTGAACAGGCCCGTAGAAAGCAAATTCAGTTCGGGGGGGGGGGGGGGGGGGCAGCCATACATTTTCAGTTGACAGTTGAGGGGGCACTACCAAAAAAAAAAAAAAATGTCATCAGACGTTTATATTGAGGGGACACAAGCATATAATATCTATGTTTTACTATAGTAATTTATGTATCGGCAAAATTATTGGGGGTGGGGGTGGGGCACCCCCCCTCCCCCCCGTTCTTACGGCCATGTTGAAACTATATTTCATATTTAAATCATTCTTCCTGGACACATCTAGCTGCGATTAAATTATTGTAATGAACAATAAACCCTCTACTACATTTGTATATTTGTGAATACAGAGTACATCTTTCGAAAATCTTCTTTACTCATGTTAGTCTAGCAGACAAATTGCATTATTTTAATGAGGCCTGGTCACTCTACCAAATTTTCATATTGTTTATAGTATACACCAGATTACTGCTACACTGGTCATAGATAGAAAGTTTTTGAAAATCCCATTTAAACCTGGATATTTAGAAAGCAAATTTTATGCATGATGGCAATAACAAAGCTACGTGTACGAGTCCATATCATTTCAAATTATAACACTTTTTTTTTGAAAGGTGTTATTGTGCCTTTTAAAAGGCAAAAATAAAAAAAACACCAACTTTTCAAAAAGTGTCAAAAGGACCATTAATATGGCATTATTATGCCTTTTTTAAAAGGCATTACAACTTGAGAAAAATACAATGCTGCTTTTTTCTGTTATTATGCTTTTTCTCCTTTAAGTTACAATATTATGCCTTTTTTGCATTATATACATGTACATGTATTTCATCTTTTTACTTGTGTAAAAACACCTTTCCATTTTTTTTCCTGTAGAATGATCCTCATATTAGGCTTTTGTAGTCTGCATTTCTTTTGATTTAATAGTATCAAGTGCATTAATCACAGATTAAATAATTTTGTACTACAACTGTATATTAGTCATCTCCGAACTTGCTTCAGAACTGACTGTAACTCCTTAGGAAAGAAAATTCAGATAGACAAATTTCCAGAGACTCTTGTATGTCTGTCTTATTTTTCTGTCCCACAGAGATACTTTTCTGTATCTAGTCATCTTCTAGATAGAATTTTCTATAAACTGTCCAATGAAATCTGTTAACAACTACCAGTATGCAGTCTGTCCAGAAAAGCATAGATGATCCTAAGTAATTGTCTCCAATCTTTTAAAATAAACCTTAATCAGCAATCTTCCTTAAATATACATTGCACAGATAAATCAACATACCAAAAATTAAATATTGCTTACTTAGAGCATTCATTTTGATAAAAGAATCTGGGGGGAAAAGATGAGCCATATGCCTACACAATGACAGATAAAAAATCAATAAATTTATTTCTCAAAATTCCACATTTGTTAAATTTAGGTAATGTTTATATTAATCATTTGCATACAAAATTGACAATACCTGAATACAGTGACAGCAAGATTGATTAATGATTAAGGTTCATTGATACTCTGATAAGAGAGATAACTCTTAATTACATAAATGCCTATTATTCCTTCATAGATTAAAAGATAAAATACGTGACATTTTGTGTACTGTCTGTACATATCAGATATATGAGATTTGGTAAGTTTAAATGTCTTAATTTGTTTAATTTTGCCCCGCAAGCTATGATAGAATTGTTTGTATTTTACTTATGAAGTACATTTCTTTGGGAAATTCCTAAAAGTTAAAGCTACATTTTGTTTGAGTGAGGGTTTAAGAACCTTAACATGTTAAAATTATGGTATCCCAATAGGGCCATTAGCAAGTGTAACAGCATGTCAGTAACTACGCTCTGGTGTGGCATGGGCATTTGGCTCATCTAATCCCCTCAGACTCTCTTACAAGGATACAGTGACAACTGTCTTATCTGATACCTGTGCAACCTGTTTCACTGTGAATTCTGACCTTTATTTTCATTACCATTTTTCCATGTTCTTTACACTGTGTTATCTGACACCCTGCCTATTACAACACAAAATATGTCTCCCAGTGCATATCAGATGAAACAGATTTCACTGTACCTGTTTATAAGGAAAATCTGTAGAATATTCTCTAAAACAGTACGATTATATCATATTGGTGTAGTATAGAATCCTATTATGAAGTATGGGTTCTAATTAGGTCATGAGGCCTTGGGCCTAGGTAGTACTGTATTATAGGGTCAACACAATATAGAGGAAAAAAATCTTCGGTTTAAAAACAACCTTTGAAGAACAGCA